TCTTGAAGCTGCCCTTAAGATAGTGTCAGAATACAGGTAGTCCTCGACTTACGGCCGCAATTGAGCCCAACATCTGGTTTCCCCATTGATTTTGCTTGTCAAAACATTGCAAAAGGGGATCACATGAGCCCGGGACACTTCAACCGTCATAAATATGAGTCAGTTACCAAGCGTTTGAATTTTGTTCAGGTTGACAATGAGGATGCCACAACAGTCGTAAGTGTGGGAAATGGTCATAACTCACCTTTTTCATGCCGTTGTAACTTTGAACCATCACTAAATGAACTGTTGTAAGTCAAGGACTCCCTGTATATATAAAGGGGAGGGTGGATGTGCTAACCCAGGTAGGTACAGCTCAGGATGTCACAATACAATCTTATATTAAAGGTTGAGAACAAAATGAGGGTGAGGTCGTGGAGATGCAACAAAAACAAGATACTTTTCATCTTGATTAGGTATTACCAGTATTTGCAATTCTTATTATGTTTGCATCATGGTTAAGTACAACTGGGACAAAGAATTTCATGACTCCCCTGTGGGGGAACCATTTCCAGGTGATGCTATAGAAGAAGAATATGGAAGCATATCTCTGAGTTTCAGGAGACAATTTTGTGGTGGGTGGATGGGTGTACGCAGGAACAGGTGGTAGTTTAATGGTGATGCATTTTATTTCCAATTTCTGGTATCTCCAATTAAAAATGTTCAAATAGGAGGCCTTGTAGTAACTGTAGGAATTATGATAAATAATGATAGGCCAAATAGACTAATAATCGGAAAATTCCTGTGTTTTCAAACTGTATTTCTTTTGCTTTTTGAGTGAAAAAAAATATCTTACACCTGGCAATATTCCTTGAGTTGTTTACTTGTTACTTGGATTACTCCTTGTTAGGATGTGCCGTTAGTCCATAATTGGTTGTATTGCTCGTCAGGAAATGATGCTTATCCAATGTTTCATGTGAATTGTGTGCATGTTCGAATCCATCCCTAAGCCTAAGAAACTCACAGATTGTTATGAAGACAGAAGGAATAACGCCTCCCCACAAGCTCTTGGAGGAAAGGTGAAATATATATGTGTGATAAATAAATCAGCTTGAAATTTTGACATATCATGAGAATGATGTGCATAATTAGACTACTTTCATATTGGATAAAGAAATTAGTCACTATTGCTGCATTTCTTGCTTTTTTAATGATTTCCTCCCTTCTGAACAAATACTAGTTACGGTATATACTCAATATATTTTCTTCTTCTGTAGGATAGTCAATCTGAAATTCTAGGCATACTTACCTATACTTATATTTAACAGGGCTTTCTTTGAGTTGACAAGTCTAGATCAACAGTGTCAACCTACTGCAAGGGAGAGTGTATAATTAAAGCACTCAATTTGTAGATTGAATGTCCCTGGCCTTTTCCTCCCTAGTGATTTGTGATATCTTATAGTGGTAGCCATCATCCCTGTGCTATTAATCAAGCCTGCCTTCGTTACTGTTGTACTTCAAGTCATAATGCTTGGATGAGGCTGAAAGTCACTTGGGGAGAAAGGCAAATTTTAATTCCAAATTAATTGCAATTTAAAGCCTCAAAGCTGGAACACTTTGGTTACAATGTCACCTTAACCATTGGTGACATTGGCTTAATGTCATTCTTAGCCATTGCACCGCAGCAACATTTTACTTACTCATTTCTCCATTTGTTTTATAACCCACTTTCCTATGAGGTCAGGAAAACAAGATGGCCTGCGCAGCACTCCTGCCTCTCATATTTACTCCCACGAAAATAATCCTCTGAACCTGTAAGGCTATTTTGCCAGATTGCAGGGATGTTTTAAAGGGGTCCAAACAAAACACAATGCCATAGAGATATTGTATGCCTAAAAAAAGCCCTAGAAGAGTGAGGAAAAACATAGGACTGAGATATTATGTACACAATGCCTGACAAATTGATTTCTCCCCTATGACGTAGGGATACAGGAAAAATAGGGACAGAATTCAAGTGTCAGGACTTGAATTCCATAGTCTATTCAGGACTATGGCTGCTAGCTTCGAGCGGTGGATGCTGGAATCCATCCAGGTATCCTGATTCCAGCCATGACAATGTGGCCTTTGGTACAATCATGGGAGAAGGGGAAAAGATGGCGACTGGAAAAACCAAGTGCAGGATTGACTGACCAACACAGCTCTGGAACAATCAAATTAAAAATAAGAAGCCTGTAGGGATGGGAATGGGGAATGCCACATGCTGTGGGTCAGAGGAGCCCGTGTGGCTTTGATATCTGCGGCTGTGTGGAGCCAGCTTGAGGATTCTAATGGCAGGCAGTGGGTCATGCCTGCCAGCTCAGCAAGCAGTGGGCTGCCAAGGAAATTGCATGGCCAAGAAAGGCAGAGTTGGCGCAAGGATGCAGACTTGGCAAGCAGGCATATAGTTTTTCTCCCAAGCAGCCTTTCCTCCACAAGCCAGCTGGATCTGCTCTCCCAAAGATGGAGGCAGCAGTCAGGAGCTGTGTGTGCTTACCACATCTGTTGGCCTAAGCACTTCTGCCACTCCCCTCTTGCCTTCTCTGTGAAAGCCACCAACTCTTCCCTATCTCCCATTTTAGCTGGATGCCTCTCCTGTGTTAACCTTAGATCAGTTCAGTCTGTCTTAATTTTCTCCCTCTCGTTCTCTCTTTCTAACATCTATAACCATCTTCCCCACCTCCTTAGTGCTTGATCCGCTAAAAGGATTGAGGCGGCTTTGCTTAAATTGGCAGACATTGTGGGTTTCCTATCCCCCCTGGGGGCCTCCTTGTATAATTGCTTCCAAGGGTGGGAATAGGAAGCTCCTGGAGACACTGCTGGCTTTGCAGTCCCGGTTTGCAAACATTTATGCTGGCTATGAATGAAAAACCCTTCCAGCCTGCTGTGCTCATGTTTCGACTCACACTGGACAAATCCAAGACAGCTTGGATTTAAGAAAGAATTTTTTTAAAAAAAAATGCTATGCTAAATTGAGAAACTACAGAGGAGAATACAGGGTTTCTCTGTATACCCTTAGCAAAAGATGGGAGTCTCAGTGTTAACCCCTTGGCAAGATAGGCGGCAAATAAATTTAACAATAAATATCTGTCTCTACCCTCTTCAACAACTAGAAAAATCTGGTGCTGATTGGCTAGGGAAGATAAAATCCAAAAGAATGCCGAATCAAAGAACAGCAATAAAACAGAAAGACAGACAAATAAAAGTGCTCTTTTATAGTTTGCAACCCCGTGTTTCGTTTAGGGAAGCTGTTCCCGCAAGATGGAATGGGAGGCTAAATGACTCCACAAGGGGCTTAGACAGGGAAGGCAGTGACTTGGAAGCTAGTTAAAATCACCATGACCAGAGGCAGTAAAAACTCTGAATACGAGAGACTGAAGAAAAACATCAGCGAAAGGCAGTTTCTGCCCTTCTGGCGAGTTTTGCAGAGTCCTCTAGCTGCTCCTGGGATATGATCAAACCTGGACCAAAAGGCACTCCTCTGATGCCCAACCTTGCATAGTTGCAAGTGGAGCTAGAGGGCGCTAGAGTCAATGAGCATGTCTGAGGCTCTCTTTTCATGGGAACTCAGAAAGGCCCTTTGGAGCTGCATTTCCCCCCAAATTCACCCTTTGTTTTAATTTTAACTTACTAGTTTGCAGAGGTTGAGAACGGGAGATTGCATCTACCCCTGAGATGGAAAAACACGAAAGGGAAAAACACGAAAGCGAAACGAATAAAAGAGAGGTGCTTTCAAAACCAAATCCTTTGGAAAGCCCTGCTTTAGAAAAAATCTGGTACATTCAGTTCACTTCTCTCTTTGAATACAAGGAGTTTGGGCACGGAGACCTTTGATGTATTAGCTAGATAAGCACAAATATAGCTCCAGCTATAATTCCATACTTCCAGTTTGGTTAATTATGGGAATCGTTGAGGATCCACCCCAGTCAGTTCCTACATTTACTCTGTTGCAGAAAATCTATACCTAGAAATTAGAAAGATCCATATTCAGGGATCTCCACTGCCACAAATGTTGGGATCTAAGACAAAAATATAAATGAACATGCACAACTTCCATCCCACAATAAGTGCCATTTCTCCTCACTTCCTCAAGGCTGAACTCCCCAGTGAACTAGATCCTGGGGCTTCAGAGCTGTCCTGTCTCCTACTTAGCCACACGTAAGTGCTGACTAAACACAGTGTTTGAGATGGCGGTCCCAAATTCCCTTCTTAGTAGGGTTTGAGCCATCCTTCAAAAAAGTTGGGGATGCACCACAAGGCAACCTGAATAAAGTGTGGCCAGCTGCTGAGATCAGCCTAGGTTCCTTGTGTTACACACCTATTGTAGTTCCTTTCCAGTTACAACGCAGGGGTTCCTTAAAAGCTTTTCCAGGGAACAAGAATGAAACAATCTAATAAGTCTTATAAGGTTAGGCAGCTGCCAAGTAGATGAAAGGAAACCTGAGAATAAGGGAGCTTAAGAGCAAGCTGTTAACAGTAGGATTCTCTTCAGTTTACAGGGAGGGGGAGCAAAATGTAGGGAATGACAACTGGAGAGAACAATTCCACCCCTTATGAACACACGAAATGTATGCAGCTGGAGAAAGGGTGGGTGAGAAGTAGATATGCAGGACTCTTACAATTTATTCCTGAGAGCGTAAGAGAAGTGATCTCTAATAGTTAGAGCAGGGGGTGGGGAGACAGAGTGATGGGACAGTAAATGGAACAGAGCGGATTTTTTAAAAAAAAATTAGGAAGGAGGAAGTTCTAATGGAGTTAGAGTAAAAAAACACTGTGGCTTAAGTTGAGGGTGAGAGCAAGGGATCTAAAAATCCAAATTCCCAGTTTCTGCTGGTTCCGTGGCTGAAATTCCTGTGTGGTCCACTGCATTTAATCCATTTGCCCCAAAGACTCTCCAAGAGAGAGAACAAAAAAACAAAAAAAAAATCCCCACCAAACTTTGGAAAATGAGTTGAGAGAAGAAAAAGGGAAAAAGAAAAAAGTACCTTCAGATCAGAGTTTGGTCCTCGAAATCACACCTGAAGCAGATCCTTCTTCTCCACCCAAGCAACTTCTCCTTGGCCGCCTTGTTAAAGTCCGTCTTTTTTCTGTTCCTCCGCTTGTTTTTTGTATGATTTTTTCCCCCCTTTTGCCAGCAGACTGGAGCTGAGTGTGTCAAGCCCTTCGCAGGACTGGAGGAGGCTGTACTGTACTAGAGGGGATTGAGAGGGGTTGACTTCCTTGTAGGCAAGCTGGTTTCAATGAGGTACAGAGCTCACACACACGCTCGCACACACAGACACACAAATGACTTCAGGGGCTGAACCATCATGTGGTTTCCATCAACCACCTGCCAAAAATGGGAAAAAAATTAAAAGAGAGAGAAAAAACCGCTCAACCTCAAGGATGGAAGTTTTCAGCCACTTCTCTCCTCCACTCCAAAATGACAGACTTTTTTTGCCTGTTCTTTTCAAAGTCGTCACAAGAGTTAGTGGGTTGGGAGGACAGCAAGAAGACAAAACTGGTCCCAAAAAAAGTTGGTGGAGGGGGGAGGGGGACAACACAACAACAACAACAAAAAAACCCTCTCTGACTTAGTGGCGCCAGAAAGGATGGCTTTTGTGTTGGTTTAAGGCCATGCAAAATATTTGTCTTCCCTGACTGGGAGAGCCTGGCTTGTGATAAACATAGAAGAAAGGAAGCCATCTTGTTGGTAAAGAAATGGTTCTGTGCTTTGAAGAAACAATAAGTGGAAGAAGATAAACTATAAAGGGGGTGAGGGGAAGTCCTGGGATATGAAAGAATGAGAAATAAGAAATATAGTATGAGGGGGGTGAGGGGAAAGAGATGAATCGTTGATTATAGTGCATTCTTTATATAGAATAAAGATGGAGAGGCTTAGGCTGAGGCATAGTAATTCGTTGGAGTGCAGCTTCTAGCAGCCCAGAGTAACTAATGGCTGTTGGACATGGATGAGAGGAATAGTAATTAACAATATCCAGAGGGCCCTTTTTTCCCCTCTCCCCGGGAGGCAGACAGAAACATAAGAACTCTGCTGAATTATGCATCCATTTATCTAGCTCTCTACAATTCTATTTATTGTGGACTACAAATCCCAAAATCTATCGTTAAATCCTCTGAGAATTCTGGGAGTTGGGAAGGTGCCAGCTTGGAAAAATGATTTATTGTTGTTGTTTCTAATCCCACCAATGGCAACCTTTTTGTCAGAAACAAGCAGAGGATGGAAACAGATTGCCACACCTGGATGTACACAGTTGTTACGGAAATCAGCCGTTTTACAGTTTCCCTTCCAATTTGGTAGGAAGTGGCTGTGTGAAAGGATCATTGCAAGTGGTTAGATCATGAATCAAATGCTTTTTCCATTTTCCTGCTCCATCTTTAGCCTAAAGATATGTTGTACCACTTGTTCTCTTGTATACACTGGTTGGTTTCAGTGAGATTTACTAGCAGCAATTCTTGCTGGATTGTATCTTATGGGTGAACAAAATGACAAGATTCAACAATGAAGTATTTAATCACATTTGTATAGTCTCTCAGCTCACATAATGATTCTGGGAGGTGTACACAGTAACAATAAAAAACACACAAAATCCTGAAAACAACCAATTGGAATTAAAACAAAATTAAAACATGATAAAAAGAAATAAAAACAAGGTGCAAGGAAAACATATAGAGAGTGTATTCCATTAATCCATATAACTATCTAACAGGTTCCACTTTACTATGGGATTCCCAAGCTGGCTGACAAAGCCATATTTTAAGGGTCTCCCTGATGGCCAATAGGCTTGGGTTCAACCTTATTTTGTGGGGAATGATTCTTATTTATTGCTATTAAATTTATTTGCTGCCCATCTCATGGTTCCAGGTGGCCCTGAGTAGTAGTTCTGAGTTGAATGATGTTCCACAGGGAGGAGACTAAGCAGAAAAGGCTTTCCTCCTAGGTTCCACACAATAACATTCCCTAGCCAATGGGACCCACAACATGCCTTCCCTGCCAAACCTGATGTATGTAACTGGGGAGAGGCAGTCCCTCAAATATCCCAGTCACATGCCATGTAAGCAGTAGTGGGTTTCACTTACCTTTGCTATCGGTTCAGAACTGTGAGCATGCGTGTATGTGCGTGTGTGCTCACTTCGCTCGCACACAGTGCTTCTGCTCATGCACAGAGCATCCGTGATGATGTCCGGAAGGGTGAGCGGAGCCTCCCACAGACACTGCTACCAGTTCGCCTGAACTGGGGCGAACCAGTAGGAACCCACCACTGCATGTAAGGCTTTAAAGGCATTTTGAATTGAACCCAGAAGCAAACTGACCACCAATGCAGCTTGCATAGTAGAGGTGTATTGTGTACAGATCTTGGAGCTCACAATAACTGCCTATGCCACTGCATTTTGTACCAACTGAAGCTTCTGGATACACTTGTAAGGCAGCTCCCTGTAGAGCACATTGCAATAGTTCATTTGGGTGATGACTACGGCATGACTGATTGATAGTAGAAAGTTGACATTGGGCAAATAAGTAAATAAGTAAAACGTTCAGGCTCATTTTATTCTTTACTATCCTTTCCTAGCCTGGTATCTTCCGGAAATACTGATTTCAGCTCATTTCCACCCAACACAATAAACAGGAGAAGCAGCTTCACTTCTCACTATTACAAATCCCCTATGCTGATATAATTTGAATGCTCTTAAAGGAGAGCAAGCAGTCAGTCATTCTATTTGTGCAAAGGATGCTGCATTTTACCCCAGGCAATATGGGAAAAGAAGTATGACAGGATTTACATATTACATTGAGCAATGGCTTGTTTACCCATGCTTTCTTGGATAAACCATAATTGGCTGGCTTCATAGAACACCTTAAGCTATAAACCATCTTTTGTGTACCACAATGTCGGAGTTCAGCCAACATACTAGATCAGAATTAAGCAAACCAATATTGATTGGCATGTACATCGTTTTGCCTATAGGCAACATTGGCCCTGAGAGAATATTATAAAGATTTTGTCCCTTAAAGATGAATCGGAACAGCTGGTTGGCTAGATTTTTGCAAAGATAAATTGATAACATTGCATAACAAAGGGTTGCGGATGCCAAAATCCTGCCTGCCAAACACAGTCACTTAATTTATTATCATTCTTCTTCTTGTGAGCAAGCCACCTCAGCATCAAAACAGCTGGCACTGACTGGGAACATACAAGCCCACATTTGCACATCCATGCGTACCGATCATAAACTCTGAGTGCCTTAATGAGGTTTCCCAGAACTGGGCTGCAAAAATCCCATGATCAAAAGGGGGCACCCAAAGAATACACAAAACTCTTAATTCCATGCTGCCATCTAATGGTTGTCCTCATTGTTGTAGCCCAGATCTGATAACCTTATTTAAATGTGTTCCCAACTACTGGAGCATAATTTATCCAGTGTATATAACTTCCTTTGACAGTCGAATCGAACCAATTTTCCCAATAAGCTGGGTTTGTAGATGACCTCGATCCGAAAGGCACACTGGGGGAAACAAAAGTAGGAATTGGGGCACCTCAAAAGGACATGCACAGCTGTTGGAAAGTGCCCATCAGAATTGTGAGTTGGAGATAGAAGATCCCAGGGAAGAATTTTGTTCACAATACTTGAACATTTGGAATATAAAATGTTTGCACTGTATATTATAAGTCTCAAAACCTAATCTCTGTTTAGATCAGGGCTGTCAAACTCCTGGCCCACAGGCCAAATGCGTCATGCGCTGGCCACACCCACGCCTGGTTTAGTGAAGAGGGAAAAAGTCCCAATATATCATGTGACACCACCGTGATGACGTGAGTTTGACACCCCTGGTTTAGATCATCCTTTTTTAATTTTATGTTTTTTAGGTATGTTGGACATCAGTTTCTCAGCAAACTGATGAATACAGTTAATAAAGTTGTCTGGACCCCCCCAAACCTAGACTGTTTACACAAGATTTGTTCTTACGTTAAGGTAAAGGTAAAGGTTCCCCTCGTAGATATGTGCTAGTCGTTCCTGACTCTAGGGGGCGATGCTCATCTCCGTTTCAAAGCCAAAGAGCCAGCGCTGTCTGAAGACGTCTCCGTGGTCATGTGGCCGGCATGACTAAACACCAAAGACACACAGAACCCTGTTACCTTCCCACCAAAGGTGGTCCATATTTTTCTACTTGCATTTTTTACGTGCTTTCAAACTGCTAGGTTGGCAGAAGCTGGGACAAGTAACAGGAGATCACCCCATTACACGGCACTAGGGATTCGAACCGCTGAATGGCCGACAAGCTCAGCGTCTTAGCCACTGAGCCACCACATCCCTGTTCTTATGTTACAAACTCTAATTTCCAGATGTTGTCTTTTTGGAGTATAGCTAACAGGATAAAGTGCTAACTGTAGTGAAAGAACCATCCATAACACTATACATACCCATAGTTACAATACATAATACAATATTGCTTAACGCATTGTAAGCCGCCCTAAGTCTCCAGAGAAGGGCAGCATATAAATCAAATTTAAAAAAAAATACATGGTTAAATACATTTTCAGGTTGGCATATTGTATGGTTATCTTTATGTCTGACTCAGACTGGACTCTCCCTAAAGAGTTTTCTTAGACTTTAGACCTTTCTACCCTGGTCCTGTAGCTTCTATGCCTTGACAATGTAGTTCTTCTGGAGATAGTTTGTAGTCCTCGACTTACAACAGTTAATGACATTTAGTGACTGTTCAAAGTTACAACAGCTCTGGAAAAAAAGTGACTTATGACCGTTTTTCACATTTCAGAACGTCAGATGCTTGGCAACTGATTGATATTTATGAGGGCTGCAGTGTCCTGGGGTCATGTGATCTGCTTCTGCGACCTTCTGGCAATGGGGAATCCATATTCACTTAACAACCGTGTTACTAATTTAACAAATGCAATGATTCACTTAACAACAGTGGCAAGGAATGTCATAAAATGGGGGCAAACTCACTTAACAAATGTTTCACTTAGCAACATATATTTTGGGCTTACTTGTGGTCATAACTCAAGGACTACCTGTACTTACTAAACTTGAAGAGTTAAGCAGGTCTTTAGACACAGCAAAGCTTTCCTGCTTACAACCTGCAACCACTGCAGTCTCAACTGCAGACTTAAAACCATTTGTTTAGCAACCGTTACAAGGGCAGTGAAAAAAAAGTGACTTATGACCAGTCTTCACACTTATGACCATTGCAGCAATTTCATGGTCACGTGATGAAAATTTGGGCACTTGACAACTGGTATATATTTAAGGAAGTTTCAGCATCCTGGGGTCATGTGAGTGCGATTCGCAACTTTCCCAGCCTGCTTCCGACAATCAAAGTTAATGGAGGCAGTCAAATTCGCTTAACAATCACATGATTCACTTAACAACTACAATAATTTGCTTTACAACCATGGTGAA